ACTATAAGTTAAAAGTGTCTATTATACATAGAAATACAACATATCTGTGACTAATGATAAACATATGATGTGGTGTGTTTAAAATTTATTATTACCCTTTTTTTCACGTTCTCTACATATAATGCTTGAGAGCACACTTTCAAAAACTGGCTGATTGACACAGACGTTTACCGAGTTCAGTGCTAGAATTAGAACGGCCATTTCCGACTGTGCACAAAATGATGTACCTGGATAATTCAGGTTACTTCTCCAGCATGGGGGGCGGGCTTGTGTCAGGGGGTGCAAACTGCACGTCACAGGTTTGTGCATTGATGCTTCTGGGAAGAAGCAAGGCGGTGAGGGTGAGGAAGCCCAGCCTTGAATCTCCGTCCTGCTGGCCACTGCAAGCAGACCAGTAGTTGGGATCCATTTAAAAGGATAGTAGCCTCCGCCGGCTGAAGTTATCACAGGCAGAGCAAATAAAATAGAACTCAGGAGGCAAAGGAAGTATTCAAGAAATAGTTATTCGACATAAAGTTTTTCAAGGGTTATTCCATTTCCATTACCCACATTATACAGCTCTGAGACCACAGTGGCAGCAAAAATCCAGAAGGCAGGGACCTGAGGTGCTTCCAAACCATAAAATTAAAAAGACATGAGCATCTGCAAAGGCCAGGAAAAAAAATTAGAACGTCTAGTTTCTAAAGTACACATGTTACACAGGCACTTTTTCAACATGGTAGCCATGCACCAGAATGCAGTCATCTCTGAGGGGCGGGGTTCCAGCAGCTTTCACTTTCTGTGTTACATCTCTCTAAAATCCGTTTCAAAGCACATGCAGTATAATCAGAGATATGACATATTAAATATTTAAAATGTGGGTGGGGCAAGGCCTTAACCTGCAACAAAGAAAAAGCCACTTCTCAATAAACGGTAAGCAAATGAGATTCTCAGAGTGTAGCAGGCGACAGTGAGTAAAAATCCGCAGTACAGGACCCGTCCTCGCCGCCTGAAGGCCTGCAGACGTCACTGGCGTGGTCTTTATTCGGAGCGTGTCTGTATCGCTTTGTTTTGGTGGGCACAGAAGTGTGGCTCAGGCTCTGCCCTGGGTTCACTGCCAATTGTCATCCCTCCCTTTCTGTCTCCCTTGAACTCCTGAATTCCTCGGGGCTTGCTAGGAACCCAACTTACAGCTGGGAAAGGACCACTGAGAACTTAAATTCTAGATCTTACCATCTTTACATTCATATTTCTACTATCGAAGTTATGCTTTAAAAAGCTGCAGCCATGGCTCGCGTTTTGTTTTGTTTGCTTTATTTTTCAGTGGAAAAAATGTTTTAAAAATAATTTTAATCACTTAAAATTCATTCATATTTAGTCTATAGTGTGTTTTTTAGCTTTTAAAATTCATATTGCTTTGAGTAAGTTATTTCAGTAATTCATACCATGTACCTGTGAGACCGAAAAATTAAAGAAGCTAAAAAGAAACAAATGGATCAATCACGTAAAAAAAAAAACCGTCTGCCTAAGAGTCCTGGTCCAGAGTAAGTAGGCCTGCTGCGCCTCCCCCCCCACCATAGTGATAAGAATCTTGCCCTCTGGGGGTGTATACTCTAAGGCTGGCACTGCTTAACAAGATAAACACAAAAGGGACAAGCAGGCAACTGAAAATTAAACACGGAAAAACATACAAATAGGAAGATTAAATATTTATAGCCATTGTGTACACAATCATAGTTTTAAAAGAAATGCAACTGGGGGCTTGGGGGGGAGGGCGGGGCAGGATGAGTCAGCAGACAGTGCGGCTGTTCACGAGGGGGGGGGCTAGAAACCGCCCTGCCAGCTGGTGTGATACACACGGAAAGATGGGCTCCCCCGCCCTGCCCCCCCCAAACACACACGCTTTCTGAGGTTTCTCTCCTTTATTGACCGACAGACAGGGACACAGTACGGATTCCTAAGGATGCCGCACCAATCGACCCTAAACTGGGCAGCTTTAAACCACAGAAACTCGTTCTTCCCCAGCTCTGGAGGCTGGAAGTCCGAAATCAAGGCGTGGGCAGGGCCGGTTCCTTCCGGGGGCTCCGAGGGAGAATCTGTTCCGTGTCTCTCCCCGGGTGTCCGGGGGCTGCCCACAGTCCTTGGCACCCCTTGTCTTTTAGGCGCACGACTCCAGTCTCTGTCACCGTGGTCACATGGGCGTCTTGTCCCGGTGTTTGCGTCCTCACATGGTATTCTCAGTGTGTGTCTTCCGTTCTCGTAAGGAGGCCGGCCAGTCACACTGGGGTCAGGGTCCACCCTACTCCAGGATGACCTCGTCTTCCTTAGTCATGTCTGCAGTACTCCTCCTCCTCCTTCTCTTTCCTTCGGCCCTCCCTTCAGACTTCATTTCCATCCCAGGCCACCGCTCTGCCAATGGCGATGGTTCCGGGTCCCTCGGGGAGTTTCCGTAGCACCTGTGCTTCATTCACCCCCTCGCGGCTCCCCCACCTGTAACGAATGGCCGGCCGGCCGTCTGGACCCCGCCCTGAGCCCTGTGAAGGCGGCTGCAGCTGTCTGCCTTGCCCACCTTTTATCCCTACCATTCAGCCGCAGCTAAAGAAATAATTGTGGAAGAAGCCAACTAAGTCTGGCTGGCGTAGCGCAGTGGATTGAGCGCGGGCTGGGAACCAAAGTGTCCCAGGTTCGATTCCCAGCCCAGGGTACATTCCTGGGTTGCAGGCCATAACCCCCAGCAACCGCACATTGATGTTTCTCTCTCTCCCCCCTCCCTCCCTTCTCTCTCTAAAAATAAATAAATAAAATCTTTTAAAAAAAAAAGAAGCTAAATAAGTGAGGAAACATGTTAACCTTAAGAGAAAGAACTAAGACAATTGTTCACAGGAGTGTTTGCTTCTTAAAACGAAACTGTATCTGTATGAACGATGTATATGTGCACACTCCGTTACTTCGCTACATTTTAGGTTGGTTGTTACAATGTATTTTACAGGTCTACGAAGAAATAGGCAAGTCATCTTTGCCACCTGTGACTAACATGTGTGACACCCTTGCCAGCGTCCAGCGTTGCTGGCTGTCGGGAACCTGGGCAGAGAGGATGGTGCCCGTTTCTCACGGTCTCCGAAAGCAGCAGAGGTCAAAGAGTTGCCCAGGCTTCAGATAGCAGATCTGCTTAGAAGCGTGTCCCCCAGCCGAGAGAGTGTGGAGGGGAAATGACGGCAGAGCAGCACGCATGGTATGCGTCATCCCGCCCGAGTCTGGCACGCCGTTGCAGCCCACACCTCCGGTGCGTGTATGTGCAGAAGGGAGTCCCACTCATCAGCATGGGACCAAGGATCATCTCCGGGCTGGGATTCCAAATGACATTTACTTTCCTGGGTCTTTTTTTTTTCTTTGTGGTTTTTTTTTATTTGTCTATTACAGTTCACGTTCAATATTATTTTTTAAAGATTCTATTTATTTTTAGAGAGAGGGGAAGGGAAGAAGAAGGAGAGAAAAAAACCATCAATTGGTTACCTCTCACACACCCCATACTGGGGACCTGGCCCACAACCCAGGCATGTGCCCCCACCGGGAATCGAACCAGTGACCCTTTGGTTCACAGGCCAATGCTCGATCCACTGAGTTACACCAGCCAGGGCTCAATATTATTTTATATTAGTTTCAGATGTACAACATTATGGTTAGACATAATTTACGAAGTGATCCCCCGACACCTCCAGTACCCATCTGGCACCGAACACTCGTCTGTGGAAATACTGAAACAGTGCCTCCCATGTTATCGTGGCTCCTGACCCTCATCATCAGTTCCAGAGTCCTGTTTCCCCACTTAGGGGGAAAGGGAAAAGGGTTTGTTTTCCAAGTGAAAATGAGTGGCATTGCTCTTTCCCCTCATCTTGATACATTCGTCACCCCCGGCCGGTGCGCTGCCCAGCACCTGTGGGAAGCTGCATTCATTCGGCGGGAATCTCTCCCCGTCACTGGTCTCCGTGCCCCTGTCACCTGTCTCCCTCGCTGCACTGGACATCGTGGGGACGCCACGTGTCAAACAGAGAAAGACACAGTCGTCACTCCAGGAGGCTCCATGTGAGGAAAGGAGGGAGCGAGCGAAGGAGGGGATGAAAGAAGACACTCACCTTCTGATGCGGGGGGGGGGGGGCCCAAGAGGGCCCGACTCCATTCACTGGGGTTTTCTGCCGTCCTGGCCGGTGGGAGGCGGGTCCTGTTCCCTCCCCATCGTCCATTCTGTTTGTCCGTGGGCTGTGGGCCTCTCTCGCCCTCGTCTTGCCCTGCCTCTGCCAACCCAGCGACACTGCCGTCCTTGGCAGGAGCTGTCCCACTCTGCGCGGCGTCACACACCTGCCACCTGAGAGACAGCTGAACACCCGCAGGAACCTGACGACCAGCACAGACAGGCGGATAAGGCGGCCGAGGCAGAGGCCTCAGCAGGCCCTGCCCAGGGAGTGGGACCAACGCAACCCGCACCCCCCCCAAAACGGGCGGCTCGGGGCCACCGCGTCGCCAGGAAATCAGAGCGGGCCTGTCCTTTCATCCGCTGTGTGGTCCCTCACCATCTCCGACGGTTAAGTGCAGCAGTGCCGGGGCCTGGCACCTGGGCGTGACCTGAGCCTTCTGGGTGCCCGGACCTAGCTTCCTCGTACCCGAAGGCCCTCCTGGACCCCAACCAGCCTTCTGTGACCTCACTCCCTGACCGGGGTTCCACGTGCCACTCTGTGAGGTCATCAGGATGGGCTCCCTTTCAGCCGCCGAGGGGCCGAGGCCCCCGCAGCCTCCTTCCCTTCCAGCTCAGTTTGGGGGTGGTTTCAGACCTGTGCTCACCCCCAAACCCAGCCTGGAGGGCAGGTGTCCCCAGACACTGGGTGATGGGCCCATGGGTCCACTGACCCCTTGAGTAGCTTCAAAAGGTTGGTATCCCCCCCGCCCCCTGCCCGCTACCCGCTGCTGCTTCTGGAGCATCCCTGCAGCCAGGGCGCCCCCCTGCCCCCCCCCTGCTCCGGCAGGCCATGGCCCATGGAGCCCCTTCAGTGCGGGAGCTGCCCCAGCGGCTGTGGCCGGGCCCCAGCGGTCAGGGAGCAGAAGAACAGCAGCACCTTCGCAGCAGCCTGGCCGCGGTGCAGGCCTTGGCCAACGTCATCCGGCCGTGCTACGGGCCCTACGGCCTCCAGAAGCTCCTGGTGACCGCCAAGGGAGAGACAGTGTTCACCGGGTACGCCACGGCCATCCTGGGGGCCCTGCAGTTGCAGCACCCGGCCGCCCAGCTGCTGCGGGAAGCGGCGCTGGGCCAGGCCGAGCACAGCGGCGACGGGGTGGCCTTCGTGGTGCTCCTGGCCGAGGCCCTGCTGACGCAGGCCGAACTCCTGCTGAGCGCCGGCCTGCCCCGCTCCCAGCTCCGGGAGGCCTACGCCGCGGCCGCCGCGGAGACCCTGGCCCTGCTGCCGTCGCTGGCCATCCGGTCTCTGGGGCCTTTGGAAGACCCGTCCAGGGCCCTGTATTCGGTGATGAACACCCACACGCTGTCCCAGGCGGGGCACCTGGCCAGGATGGTGGCACAGGTGTGCTGGGCGGCCAAGGAGCTGGACGGCACCTTCCGCCGGGAGCGCGTGGGGGTGTGTGTGCTGCAGGGGGGGCAGCCGGAGGACTCGTGCCTGCTGCCGGGGCTGGCCGTGCCGGGGAAGCCGTGCGGGCAGGTGACCGTGGTGCTGAGAGGCGCCAGGGTGGCGGTCTTCGCCTGCCCCTTCGGGCTCCCCAGTCCAAACGCCCCTGCGACGGCCCGGCTCTCCAGTCCCGCCGAACTGGTGCAGTTTAGGAGGGAAAGCGAGAGTCTGCTCCAAAGGCAAGTGGAGCAGCTGGCACACGTAGGCGTGAACGTGGCGGTGGTGTGCGGGGACGTGGAGGAGAAGCCCCTGGCCCAGGCCGACAAGTACAACATCATGGTGATCCAGGTGAAGTCCCCGCGGGAGCTGGCTGGCCTGAGCGAGGTTCTGGGCACACCTGTGATGCATCACCTGGTCGCCCCCCTGGAGCCGGGCAAGTGCCAGCGGGTGTACGGGCAGGAGCTGCGGGAAGGCCTGGCCGTGGTGTTTGAGTGGGACCCTCCGACGACCCCTGCCCTGTCCGTGGTCCTGCGGGGGCCCACGAGGGCGGGGCTCCGGGAGGCGGAGCAGGCCGTCTACCACGGAATCGATGCCTTTTTCCAGCTGTGCCAGGACCCCAGGCTGCTCCCGGGGGCCGGGGCCACCGAGATGGCTCTGGCGAAGATGCTCTCGGACAGGGGGACGGCGCTGGAGGGGCTGCGGGGCCCCGTGCTCCTTGCGTTTGCCCAGGCCCTGCGGTCTCTCCCCGCCACCTTGGCCGAGAACGCGGGCTTGGCCGCCTCCCGCGTGATGGCGGACGTGAGCGCCGCGCACCAGGCCGGGTACTTCCTCGCCGGCGTGGGGGTCGAAGGCATGATCGACGCGGCGGGCGAAGACGTGTGGGACACCCTGGGCGCCAAGGCCCATGGCATCCAAGCCGTGGCTGACGTGGTCCTGGAGCTCGTGACCGTGGATGAAATCGTGATGGCCAAGGAGACGGCCCCCGGCCGGCAGGACCTGAACCCTAACGAGAAGAAGGCCAAGGATCGGCGCCCGTGGCCTGTGGAGATACTCAAGTAGCCACACCCTCCAAAAACTGGGGGCTGTCAAGGCCGGCCCGACCACCCCCCAGACGACTGTTTGCCTTACTTATTCCCGCCGTGTTTGGGACAGAGTCCATTTCTTTAGTTAAAACAACATAAAAGTCCTTTTCCTTGACGTACTTCCTTCCAGATTCTCGGCTTAAAAACAACAACTCCTGTTTCTCTCCATCAGATTCTTCCAATAAGAGCAGGATTCAATTCTTTTTTTTTTTTAAGATTTTATTTATTTATTTTTAGAGAGGGAAGGGAGGGAGATAGAGAGAGAGAGCAATGTGTGGTTGCTGGGGGTTATGGCCTGCAACCCAGGCATGTACCCTGGCTGGGAATCGAACCTGGGACACTTTGGTTCCCAGCCCGCGCTCAATCCACTGAGCTACGCCAGCCAGGGCAGGATTCAATTCTATTAAAGGTTTTTAATTAAGTATTTGGGGATGCAACAAAAAAAAATGTGCATGAGTCTCTCCCCAACTACTTTATTCATGTGTGATACTCTAGCACAGGGCTGTCAAACTCATTTTCACCGGGGGCCATGTCAGCCTCGCGGTTGCCTTCCAAGGGCCGAGTGTAACTTTAGGACCGAATAAACGTAACTGATCCTCAACAGTTAAGCGAGAGCTCGGCACTGCCGCCGGGTAGAAACAAGGTGCCGGGCCGGATAAACCAAGGTGGAGGGCCGGGTTCGGGCCGCGGGCCTTGTGCTTGCCGCCTGGGCTCTGACACGTTTGAATTTCTGTCTAGATGTCACTTTAGCCACCTGAGGACATCAGTCCCAGCTTACAGAAGGGGCAGCTCGTTCCTGCTGAGAGTGTTCGGAAAAAGAAAGGGATATTATTCAACGCAAGAAGGAGAAGGAGAACGGAGGAAAATCAGCTGGCAGACAGGCAGAAGTGTAATTTTAAAAAAGAAAGCAGCCCTGGCTGGCGTAGCTCAGCGGGTTGAGCACCAGCCTGTGAAGCAAAGCGCCGCCGGTTCAATTCCCAGTCAGGGCACATGCCTGGGTTGCAGGCCAGGTCCCCAGAGGGGGCCATGTGAGAGGCAACCACACATTGATGTTTCTCTCCCTCTTTCTCTCTCCCTGACCCTCTCTCTAAAAATAGATAAGAAAATCTTAAAAAAAAAAAAAAAAGGAAAGAAAGAAAGCCACCTTGGCACAGGCGACAAGAGATGAGGACACACAGCTTAGACCACACCGAGGTTGTCCCGCAGGGGAGGAGCGCGGGGGGCACCTGGGTGTCGGGCGGGGCTCCGACCCCGACTGGACACCCCCAGGCATGAAAGCACTGGGAGCAGAGTGGGAAGAGCTGCCCGAGCCTCTGCCTCTTTGACCGCCCGGCCCCTCTGCTCGGGGAAAGAAGGAGCCGGGCCCGGCAGCAGAGGCGAGGCGCGCGGAGGCTGTGATCTCTCGGAACCGGAGAAACAAACGAGCTGCAGCGGAGCGCTCCCAATGTGCAAACATCTTGAGGAACTCAGAGGAGGCAAAGTTTCCGCACCGGCCCGAAAAAGCCGTCAGAGAACCAAGGGCGGTCTATGGAGATGCAGGGAAGTCCACTCCCTGTCACTAATTTAGGGTCTGTAGGACCCTCGATGCGTCTTTCCTCGTTTCCTCCCCATCGCCATGTTCCAGTGAAAACAGCTAAGGGCTTTCATCCGTCTCTCCTTCCCTCATGTTCTGTATTCCAGGCTCCATTCCTCGGTAACAGTGGCAATGACAGAAACAGGGAACCCTCTAAAGTAGGTCAAAAGGACTTTATACAAGTTCTCCTTAATCATCCAAACGTGAGAAAGAAGTCTGGTGGGCTCTCAGCCGCAGGAGGCCCATTCGAGCGAGCTTCAGAAAAATTAAGTCGCCGGCCAATGTGACAGAACAAATGGAAAACGGAACTCCATAGTCATTCCCTGTTTTACCGCCCCTACGATACATTTCTCTCCTGTGATGTTTTCAGGGATATAAGCCCTACGGTCACAGAGCAAACATGCCTTAAAACAGCCCTTTGGGTATTTACAGTGAGTGTTTTTAAAATTAGTGTAAAAGCCATGTTTATTTTCTAGAAAAATAAATAATAAAGATGGTCCTGCTCACACAGAACATTTTAGTTACAGATCTAAGATATAACAAAGATCCGATGATGCAATAACAGAGGACATTTTAAATGTTTTAAGTTTGATACACGGATTTTTTGATAGTTTGGAAAAAAATCATATTGTAACATCTCATTGCCATCTCCTCCCCCCTCCCCCATACACACACGGAAGTCTGTATATGTAAATGCAAGTTACAACGGTCAAGGTCACCTCTGGCCAGGTAGCTCAGAGCGTAGTCCCAAAACACTCAGGTTGGGGGTTCGATTCCCAGTCAGGGCACACACAAGAATCAACTGGTGAATGTATCCATAAGTGAAGCAACTCATTGATGTTCCTATCTCCCCCTTGTCTTCCTTTCTCTAAAATAAAAAAACAGTAATTTAAAAAGTTATCAAGGTCAATCTTACAAGGGACAAGGGAAGTATGGCAGACACAAATGTAACGAGCTTATGCTTAAAGGTAAAAAAATGCGTGACCCACACTTGAAATTTGAAGACAGAGAATGCAGGCATCTTGTGGGGTGTGCTGGGCTGGGGGGTGCCTGGAGCCTGTGTGAGAGGCCTTCCTTCCCATCCACCCCGAGACTGGTCAGTCAGCTCTTCGGTCTCGTGGCCTTGAAATAAACCTCCCCGAGTGAGCCAGAGGCGGTTTCCCCTCTCTGTCATCTAAAGAGCACCAGCTGTTCCAGGAGGGCAGAGAATGTCACACAGCAGGCGACAGGAACGCCCAGGGCGGCTGGCAGACAGGGCCTGGGGAGAGGCCCAGGACGGACGGCCCTTCGGAAGCTGGGAGGGTCCGGGTCTCCTCAGATGAGTGTCCCTTCCCCATGACCTCCTGCCCTCTAAGCTCTCGCTGCTCGAAGTGCTCCATGAACCCACAGCATCAGGAACAAATGAGAAATACAGGGTCTGGCCCCTCCCCCCCACCCCCCACCCCACCTGCTATGTCACAATTTGCACTTTAGCCAAGACCCTCAGGTGATCAGGGTGCATATCAACATTTGAGAAGCACGGGTCTAAGCAATAATCCCAATTAGCTATATCTTGATTATGCTTTGAAATCAAGCACCCTCCTTAATACCACCTTGGGCATTCTGTTTAAGTGTCTCAGGTATCACATTGTTTCTTTTCACCTGCTAACCACAGAGAAGTTGACCAGAACGTGGCCTCGATTTTACTGGACCCTGACCCTGCTTCCGAGGCTCCAGGGTTGAGGTCCGAGGTCTCCCAAGGCCCACGGTGCCGGCCACCCAGGCGCCTTGCAAGACGCGCTTCTCTTCTGTAGAAGCAACTGCATTTCAGAAAGGTCAGTGCCTAGTGCGTGTTCTGCATCACACTTGCAGCTGGGGCGCTGGGCTGTTCTCCCATCCCCAATCCCTTCTGGTGTAGCAACATTGTCTCCTGGGGCTCCCAGTCCATCCAGCCACCAACAACAAAGCAGCAAGATCCTCTGGAGGAAACGGAGAAGGACAAGGAGAGCGTCGGAGTGCCGGCAGACGGAGGAGCGGGGTGCCTGTCCCGGGTGGCGGGGCTGTGGCGAGCCGCGAGAGCTATTGCATCGTTTGGGTGCAGGACAGACTGGGACCCGCGGCACAGGTGCTGGCGTCCCGAAGGGAAAAGGTCACTGATTTCCAGTGAAAATACGACGGAGACTTGTCAACAGTACGTTCAGGCCCTTGGTCTAAGGCACCTCTTCTCAAGACGGCGTCCTGAAGGGAGCCCCGGGGGACGGGGGTTCACCTTGCTGGGCTGGGGGCCCTTCAGTGCCCAGACGGGGGCAAGGAGAAAGCTACGATTAAAGAGGGAACACAGAAAACTCCAAAACGGGGACACCTGAGTGGGAGGGAGAGAGGCTATCGAGGCTCGGGGGCCGCACCAATTTCATTGGTGAGTGAGCAAAACTCGCGTGAGGGAGTCTTGCCGGAACCCTGTCGGCTGGACAGACGGACAGACGGGTGTGCCGCCCAGACGCCTGCCGCTCGGGCCTTTCCGGGTTTCTAACCAACCGTGGGCGGCGACCCCGGCGGGGAGGGGCTCCTTCCCACTGTGGTTCACCGAACGTGTCCCCGGTGCTCAGTTCCCCTGTTAAGGTCGCCACCCCAGGCAGGGCTGTCCCTCTGGCGCTAAAACATGGGAACCTGAGGTCCCCCTTCCTTACCGGGGGAGGGGAAGAAGGCTGGGGTGGAGACAAGAGAGATGCGGATGAGTTTCTCAGAGGGGCTCTGCTCACCTCTCCCAGGGCTCCCGGGGGCGGGATGGGGAAGAGCCGGGAGACTCTCTCCGGGAAAGCGGGGGAGGGGCGGCGCGGCGTCTCAGCCCACAGGAGGCTCCCTGCTTCCAGCCCGGAGCCCTGGGGCCCCAGGAGGTCTGTGCCAGCGGGAGGGGACGGAGTGGGCTGCGGGGGAGGCGGGGAAGGAAGGGCCTGCTGACCGCGCTGCGGCGTGCCAGCTCCAGGCCTGGGAGGCGGGTTTCCCTGGGCCCGGAGGAGAAGGAGGAGGTCAAGGATTGACTTGGTGGAGGCCTGTGCTGATCCAGAAAAACCAGGAAGAGGTTAACGCACTTGGAATTAACCAGATTAAGTGTTCTACCGCCCCGCAGAGAGGGGGCTGGAACAGGACACGCTGAGATCATGGAGATGCAGAGACATCACGACATGCTCCGTGCTGCCTGCGTGCAGGGCCTGGAAATTCAAACCCCGGACCAGCGGAAAGACCGTGCGGGGAGTTCGGACATTGTCCTGCATCAGACACTGTCCTGCGTGTTCCCCAGCAGAGCCTGACGCCGGTTACCTCGGAGCCGAGAGCGGCCGGATGCTGGTTAGCTAGGAGGTCAGCACATCTTCAGATGCAGTTTTCCTCACTATAGAGGCTAAAAAACATGACAATGGCCCTCTGGA